AAACCTTAGTGATATGTGCATGTCAGAAAAAATTGTTAATTTCATTCATATGAGTTACAGACGGTATTAGTTAAATGTTCATTAGCCGATGACCTAGGTAAGGGTCTGAAAAAATGTTTTAGCACCTAACCGCTTTTAACTAAGTATAACTCTAAGAATGTTTCGAAAACGTAGTTTATCGAAAAATCTCACAGAGAGACTGGTCTAAGATTTAAACAAGTACATATATTTTACGAGTACAAGTATTTTAAATGATCTGTTCTCCCTTTTCACCAAATATAGTCAAATACTGAAAAACTATAATGGTCCGAGTAGAGTAATTACTTGCTTTACGATCTGTGAGACAATGATAAACTTGGTGGGTCGTAGGTCAATATACACCTAATATAACTTAAATGTCGACGCATATTTCCTATTATATGCATTCCTTACCGCAATATCAGACAGTCTTTACCGATCTCCGGCGGCATGAGCAAGCTAGCTTCTGATATGTTCCAGATTTCTTTGACTTTTTTGGCGACTCCGCCAAATCCTGTCCTTTTATTTGAAGGAGACGGAGGCCGTAGTCCCTTTGATGACCCTTTCTGTGCCGTCAGGCCACACGGGACAAAAAAGGAGACAACCTGTGCCTGAGCGAAAGAGGGCCTCGCCGTGCCAGTTGCCTGCTGGCCCTTTTTCCTAGTTCCCAGTCGGTTCTGTCTGAACAGAAAAGCCGAAAAGAAGTCTGCTCAAGAATTTCTAAACGAACGACCGGCTCTGTCTAAGCGGGCATCTGCCGTAGGATCCATTCTGATGTGCTTATATCCATCTTTGCTGAGGAGAAGATACTACGAGAAAGACAAAGGATTTAGGTTGACCAAAAGAAAGTGAAAAGGAACTCAGATTCAATCCAGATCTGTACTCATATGTACGAAACCAGAGAGATTGCCTAACCGATCGCTGCTTTTTTTGAAACATACATACTTGTTTCAACATGAAATAATTTTGTAGTATCTGTTTCAACCAAAAATATTATGTCATTCTAGCTTCCAAAGACTGTGTTAGGTTTTGCTTGCGTACTAATACATTGCTTGACTAAAATAACTCGATAAGATATTATACTTCCACGTACTGCGTTTTCCCGCAAGGCGCAAGCGTTCGGTAAATAAAATAGCTTAATCATTTTATTCAAATGAATGTAACCCTTTAATAGTATTCCAAAAAGTGCTCTGGTAGAGTAGCTTTTTGAATATCATCAACTCAGCTAAACAAATTCTGCCTTGAGGCCCTAGAATATATATATTCACGTTGATTATTAATTGTCTCTTTTCTTTGCCAAGGGATTACGAAAAAACTGAAAAAATAGTTGCAGAATTATCAACTTAGCCACACAGAACACGGCCTAGCGAGGTAACACATCAAGTCCTATTTGTAGGAATATAGAAAACGATGGTGGCTATGATTTCATCAGTATTATTTTCATAGTATTATTCTCAGTGCTACATTTATTGAAAACCTGATTAAAAAAAAAGACTTATCGTGAAGTTGTATGAAGATACCCCATGCTGAAAATACAGTTTATCTTAGTGAATTAATGCTGCTCAGCTTGATTTTATCCAATTTTTCCTTCCAATTTTAGCAGGACGTAATCAGCGATCCTAATGACCTCTACTATCAACCACGCCAGAAAACCCATGTAGGTCTCGGGCATCAAAGTGTATACACAGATGTGGGCAAAGTTGCCGGTTTTAGCAAGCCCTTATTTTGTCACACTCTAGGCTCACTACGGTTCTGTCTTCCCTTAACTCCCTGATAAAGTGTCACTTGTTTCGTCTGGTTTTATACCCTGATAGACGTTCCTTGGAAGCCAATGTACCATCACTATCCGCTCATCGATTAGCCTAGTGGTTATTCCACTTCGGTGAGATACTGCTAATGCTACTTACAGTAAACTAATTTGCTCTCCTTCGAAATCCAGCCTAATTTTTTTATTGCATCAGAGTGCTCATGCAACAATGCGCTCACCACACCCTTTCGTAGCACTCTGGAACCATTTTTCCGTGCTTTGTCCTCCATTGAAAGTACCCAAACGTCCTGGCGGTTTATCAGCCGGGTTTTGCCTTGAGGGATAATTGAGAGCAATGAGGAACTTGCCATAGATACTCGGACATCGCAACTGAACTTCGGCCGAGAAAAGGAGAGAAAAAAAGGGACTGAGGATGAAGCTAGAAAGTATATTAAATTGTTGAAATTATTAAGCTAATTTAGCGAGTAAACAATAACTGGAAAAGAAACGCATTAGTCCTTCCTCAGGTCTCAGTGAACGGGCCGGCTCTAGGCGTGCGCTCCTTGTTTTGAACGTTTTCATTCTAATAATTTGGCTGCCGCCTCAAAAAAGGCTGGATGCATATCTTATGTTATGCTTTTTATTCCATATGCTAACGAAACGGATAGATGAGTACCGGTTTGAGATAAACATCGGGCATTAATCGCAAGATCGATACACATGTTTACTCTTAACTATACGCCTGTGTTTGGATATGTCTATATTTTTATCTTTAAAATTGCCACAGTAAGTAGGGATGCACTTGTTGATAAATGTCGCTGCATAACTCACGATGTATGTATAGGACCCGAATGCAAACTATTAATTATTATTAGTTTTCCCGATGAGGTCGACAACCTTCTAAAATCCCCCAACTCGCGAAGGACAGTGCCATATATGTGGTACTGCTTTACTCAAAATGACTATCACCCTTTTTAAGATAGTTCACTTCTTATTAGATGTTCAGTCCTAATGCATATTGATTGAAATTAATAATGAAGCAAAGCTTTTGTTTATCAAATATGGTCTGACTCTATGGCGGCCGAAGGCCTATTACCAGCGCAATATAAAAATTCGCCGTCGTTGGAAGCTCCTTCTCCAAATTGATAGCTCTGGATAATTGTAGCCACAGCGCCTGCTTACGAATCTCTAGTTGCATCTGTTTTGGCGTATGTGTTTCCGAGTGTGACTGCTGTTTACAGTTAGATACTGATATTTTTATGATGGATCATATTTAGGGACACAATCGCACTGTTTTCTGTCTCACCTTGCAACTCACATTTGAATTTATAGGGCTAATGTTTTTTGCATCAATAAACATTATTTTGAAAACTTGATAGCGTTCGCCATATGCAGAAGTAAAAGGAAACAGAGCATAATCTAGACGAAAGACAAAACGGCAACTTCGAAACGGTATCTTTACACCCGATAACCGGCGGTTTCGACTCAACTGCCGTCAACCGATGACAGTCTTCTCTCTCCCTCACCTGAATACGAGTGCGTGAAGCAGCATTTTGATTCATTAAATTCGCGAAAGAAGCACGAAAAGTACAAACCTTTAAAACATTTAATGGTAAAGTCCCGCACGGGCATAGGACGAAACGTAGGTGGTATACTGGATGTCAGCCAGGTCGAATTATCGTATGACACAGACAGTTCATAGGACTCCGCTTACCGGCCGTTCCTTATATAGCGAAAGCCAAAGTGAGACTTACGAAACGTCCTTTTGTCTCCTCCCCACTTTCTTTCTGTCCCTCGGCAATATACCGGTCGTCTAGCCATAACGAACCACTGAAAAGTAATTTGGAAACATGCGGCATGCATTAACGTTAGCGACCGACCATAGCAAGTACAGCAACCATAGCTGCCATTATCGAAGCACTATATGCCACTCGTTTGTTCTTTTTTTCAACTAAAGATGATGTTTTAGCTCAAAACATAGACGGACTTTGTGTGCAGGGACAATTCGATATCTATTTGGCGTGCACCCTAGATGCTATTGCAGATAGCCTACGAAGCTGCCAGTAGTTTAGTTTGAGGAACTTTTTTTCGGAAATAAAGTTAGATGTTTTGATTTTTACAGGTGAACCACCAGGATAGAAAGACATGGAAGAATAATTGTGTCCTATTTCGGCACTCAGCGATGCGACATATTAGGCTGTTCATTTTCATTACCGCTAATCGCAAATATTGGCAGATCTTGGATAGGGTGTTATTGACGATGTATGTAAATTGTAAATCAAAAGAGGTGATTTATATTTGCGAAATATACGAACACGATTCTAGATACGGTATTCTAAACATTCTATTAATTATATGCGTGTTTAGTAAAAAAGTTTTTATAATAGCATACATTTTACTTAGGCTAGTTTTGTAAGAATCCACGATGTTAAGTTTTAAAAAATGTTCATGATAATGTTATTGGCTATTTTGAGTCCTTCAGTCTTGAACTTTTCGAAAAATCACTTTGCATCAACAAAAAAAAGTTTCGATATAACATCGCCGTGAACTGATTACTTGTGCAGTTGATACTCAAAAGAAAAAAAGCTATCGATTCTCAGAGAATTTCTGCTACAGGAGCATTAATATATACGCCTTTATTCAGAAAAAAAAGATGCATCAAGAAGCACCAGCACCAAAATCTACGAATTAAAAAACTGCTGCGGAAAAATATGCGAGGCCCGACTTTCTACGTTACCTTATACCTTTTTGCTCATTCGAAATTTTTGTGCGTGGAACTGATCTAAAATGCAATAAAAATAAAGTCAACCAACAAGAGGAAAACAAAAATGGCGAAGCAACCCTAGGTTTCTAAAAGAAACTAACTGTTTATACGTGGAAAAGACGGTAAAATTTTAAATCACTGCACTGTTTTGCATGAGGCTGAACGTTTTCAGCACGAATATCCTTAAAATATACTATGGGTAGAAAATGTGATAAAGTTGACGACAGTTTAACTTAATTGTACGGTGTCCTAATATGAAGAACTCAATTAGAAACAATCATTTAAATCATATGGAGATCGAGGCGAGACTTACTATTTACTATTTTAGTCATTCTTATAACCAATTTTAAATGAATAAATATTCAAATACTAGTCTACTATAGCATTATCATGTATATTTAGTTATACAAGATATACGCTATTTTCCGTAGTTAATCAAAAAAATACGCACACAAACAATAATGTGAAATATAAAATTCCAAAGTTTTCGATTTATTTATCAATCTAACTGCCACACTTTCATTTTAATCCATAATCTAGATTTTAAATAGCTTACATGGTATTTCCATCCATACAATACACTACCGTTAACACCTTACTAAACTTGCACATAGCACTTCACTTCCTCTTATTTATGAGTAATCGATATACATTTTTCTGTTCATGTATCAAAGTATAGGAAAACTGAATTGCACCCAAGAGTAACCGTGCTAAGTAAACCTGAAGAATTCCGCCAATGGGAATCTTGATCGCTTATAGTTTTTCGGTTACCGTTTTAATGCAACACCAATTTTTAGGCTTTTTTATAATTGCCACCAATTAAAGCTTACTATACGAAACGGCACTGTGCATTATGGGGACTGCCATTTTCTACACGATGTTCTACGCTTATGGTTGCTCTGTATGTTGTCGTTATTGATTTTAAAAATTTTCACCGTTTTCCAGTAATTTTTTTACACATTGGTATTCATAGCGCGTCGTGTATTCTCTAAGCAGCGAAATCTCGGTGTGCCCGTCTTTTTATAAGTGTTTCTTTGTCAACATATATTTTTATCCACTTGCAGTTTAAAATGAAACTAAACCACGACGTCAATCATGTGATTGAGCCAACAGGAGACCTTCAGTTTCGTTAGAACCAGAAGTCTACTTGCGTCCAACCTTCTGCAGATCAAACTTTTCGTCGGCAATATTCAACATCAGAGACTGGGCGTCAAGGTAGACCTTGTTATGACTCTGAGAAATAGTGCGCGCAATCTGTTGCGCGGCGCGGAACTTCCTAAGCTTGAGGTAGCCAGGATTCTGGGCAATGGCTTCTCCAATCAGTTTAGCTGCTTGGGCCTCTCCTTCTGCGTGCACGATTTTCTGTTGTTTCTCTTGTTTGGCCTGTTCAACAATGAAGGCCGCACGCTGAGCATCCTGCTGGGCAACCTGTTTAGCCTCAACAGCGGCCGTGTACTCCTTGCCGAAGGACAACTCCGTGATCGCGGCGTCATCCAGAATAATGTTGAAATCACGGGCTCTATCCGTTAACTCCTTGCGGATCAGCATCGAAACCTAAAACATGAACGATAATAACAATGAATTGAATACCAAACTGAATTCAGAACCAAAAAAAGATAAAAAAAAATTACCAGAAGATTAAGCCGCCGCTTTAATTACAAACTGAATTTAAGTGGCACGTTTTCCCTCATACAGAAAATATCATACGGAGTCCAGTTATAGTATGATACAGTCAAACAGCATATTATCTAGCTAGAAGTACGAGTTATAAAACAACATACATGTTTCAAGATGACATTTTGAAAATGTTTACTCTTCCTGAAAGCATAACTTCTATAGGACAAAATGGACACTTCATACATCTTATAGAAAATCGTTTAATACTATAATTCCCAAAACAAATATAGGACTTGTAGCGAAGCGGATATGAAGTTATACTAGTCAAAAGACACTATGACACCTTCGATGATGTTTCGTCTTGCGCGCAACATGCGAGCTATGTAACTAATAAGTACGAACATTCGTAAAACAACAGCGTTTTGACTACCATAACACAAAGAGGCATCGTGCCTCTTTCTAACAAGGAGCTAATATACTATTGAAAACCATCTCATCTGAACGGTACGTTGCCGGGGAGGCCGTACTACCGCTGCCTGTTCCATGTTTACAATGGGTAAACGAGGAACGATTACGTCGTTTTAACAACGCTAATATGCAAAAGTACATCCGAAGCTGGCAGAACGGCCTTAGTATCTACGAAGTTTGCACATTAATTTGATGATTGTGGCATTCTATATTTAATTGCGAAGCGTACCGAATGCTCGCCAATAGAAGTAAACAAATTTCATACATATTTGTATAAGACAGTAGGACGGGTTTTGTTCCACATGGCAGCAACAAGCGACCGACCGCGCTCCACTGAATAACATAGATCCATTGAAAATCCGAATGATAACTACTCATGGAATTCTCATAACATTGCTAACCTGCTGTCGCATAGTGATTAGTTGGGATGCATTGAATTTCGCTACGACCGACTTCAGCACTTCATTGCAGATCGATGGCAGGACACGTTCATCGTAATCGGTACCAAGATTACGGTACATCGTAGGTAGCCGAGCGGCATCAGGGCGCGACAGCACTCGTAATGAGATATTCACCATCTGGAGATCTTTCGATCCCGTGGGTGATGAGATCTTCCTCGGCTTGGAGCGAATATCGTAGATAATTGGCCATTGCAGCCACGGGATACGGAAATGCAAACCCTCAGCGTAGACTTCCTCTTTTACACCACCAATACGCGAAAAAATGATTGCTCGGTGGCCACCTTCGACAGTATAGACGGACTGAGAGGCCCCATACAACAGGCCAGCTCCGGCAGCCAAAAGTGTAACACCGGTTCCAACTCCTTTAGGTGAAGAACCGCTGCCGCTGGCCATCATTCCCTTGGCGAATTTCGTAAACTTCTCAGCCATTTTACCGATAAAAACCGCGTCAGACTGCTGAGAATACACTAATGATTAACGGAGAATTCGACTGCAGTGACGAAGGACAATAAACACAGTAACAAATTCATCTAAGAGTTGCTAGCAACACAGTAACAAATCTGCCCGCGTAGGGATTTGTGGTTCTCGGTACGTTATTGAAATCCGCAAGCGAAACTACACACGAAAATCATGCAAATAGAACCGCAGTGTCGTACTGCTAGCAGGACGCTCACAACACGAGGACTGCAACTCGATGAGCAGACGACACTATGGTCGATGTTAAATGCTGAACGGGTTCCCAGTAGCGATATCGCTTCGCCTTAAGGGAAAGGGCCTCTCCACTAGATGGAGGCATGACTATGGTTAGTGGGCTAAAGTGCTAAAATAAAGTACTTTTTAACTAGTATGATATTCAAGTTTAATATCTTAAAATGTGAGTTAATTAAGTTAATGTATGAGACTGTATAAGCAAAAAAATCTGTTTTGCGGTAATTGTGTTAGTATAAACAGATATGACTACACTATGGTGGAAAAGTGCCTAGTCAGTAAAGGCGGCGTCGCGCTAAAAACTAGATCTGCGCAGGTTCAGAGTTTAATTGACTTACAAGGACATTTAAACAAAGGGCGGGTGAGCATTGGGTACGATTGGGTTAACACACACATTGTGTAAATATTGGCATTAATAACGGATAGCAACCGATGCTTGTTGAAAAGTAATGCAATACAGCCATTTTTAGATATTCTCGAGATTTCAGTATATTTTGAAATTTAAAAAAAAGGTATGAAATACCTTTTTTTGTAAGGTAAAGAAGATCAGATTCTCAAAAACCTATCAAGTAAACCACTCAGTATTTTTTAGTATATTTATGCTTAAACTTGTTAAAAAGTATGATGATAACTGAAGTCTTACCAGTTCTACAAGTTTTACAAAAATTTTACAAGTTTCTTGAGTTAAACCAAGTACTGAATGGTTTACTAATAATAAGTTTTTAAGAATCCTATTATTTTTACATTACGAAAAATTTATCAAAGTCTTAACGATTTTGCCTTCAAAATATAATAAATTTACGCATATGGCCAAAATGAAGAAAAATAATTTACATTTACCCCTATTCAATAAATCTGCATAGTCTTAAACAAATTTACCAATCAAATTTCTAACATTAGATCGGCTGGACTCCGTGTTTGCCAAAATAATATAGCTAGAATATTTTGGATTGAATGTTAAAAAGAATTTTCATTTGTAATGAAAAAAGTGAGCTCGGTGTGCATGGTTTGACTCAAAAAACTTATAAAATTCAATCCAAAATATTCTAGCTAAGTTTGTTGAGTCAAACCATGCACACCGAGCTCACTATTTTCATTACAAATGAAAATTCTTCTTAACATTAAAAATGAAGGTGTATCAAAAAATCAGTATCCACTTCGTAAGCTCCCTTCCTTCACAGTTCATGATACCTATCTGTATAAAAAATATTTTCTATACAATTAGAATATATGTATACAATTTATATTTATAGTTTTTTCGAAGCAAACTACGTAGGAAGATTTTTGATTAGTTATCAACGACCGCATGTTTTTTCAGTGAGAGTTAGAGACGGACGTATTTTTTTATTCAAATATTTTGTCTATACGTCAATCACTAAATAACTGCTTCTATTGAACATACAACCTTACCTAGCCAAGAACCTGTAAAACACTCGAGATCAATTATTCATCTACCATGAAGCTATTATTACTAAACGCTATCTGGGAAACAAAATACCTTAAAAGCGTTATCAAAATTGACAACCATAAAGTCATCCGTGATTGTTAGCAGAATAGCCCGCTTATGTATCATGTGTCCATCTTGAGAACCTACACATAATCGCTAAATAACGCTTACATTTTTCTGGCGCCTTATAATCATAGCCTATTTATTTTTTTCTTGTCTTATTACAACGTTACTCTTATGTCGTTTATACTTGTTTATAGTACAGTTGTTTGATATTTTACATTTTACAGTGTTCTTTCTGGCGATATTCCAACGATGGCGTCATTGTATTGCACACGAGCATACACAAGGGTACAGATAAAAGATTAATAATACAGGATTTAGGTCACGAATTTTTCACGGTCATGTGCTTTTGGATAAATTAGTGCTGTTTATGCTAGAACAACAGTAAGTCAAAGCACAATAGCAGTTAAAAGCAGACGGAACCAATATACAAGTGATAAATACATCGGTTGGCTACGACCCGTCTCTGTAACGATACTAAGTGTATTGCTATGAAGAACCACATATGAAGGATTTTGGATGTCATTACCAAACTGAGGAGAAACAACAATTATACATTGTACATTTGTCGTGGGACGAACTAGATGACTTCGCCTGGGTTGACACCATCAATGGACCATCGTAGACGTGCAAACGATGAGAAATCACGTGTGTTCTACACAAATGTCACATAATTGCTTATCTAAATAATATTTGGTTACCACAGCGTAGATGTGAAAAGGTGAGATAGAACTCTGGTTTTGTAAGCCGGCGTATTGGTTAATATCGTAATCCTTAGTCTAAGGGTTAAAAGTAGGCCCGCAAGTTTCTTTGTCTGTTTCAAGTACTTGTCGGCTTTAACTGAAATCGCTAACTAGAAATTTGTCTGCATTTTGGGAACTTATCAAGAGCAGTAACAAAAACAGTACACTGGATGTGCACCATGCCACTTCGGAAGACGGAAAAGCTGGGTACAGTATGGGGCTTTCTTGTGCAAACATTACGTTTTAATTCTTCATCGACGCAAAAATGCCAGGAGGAAGACCATATGAGATTATTAAATCAACTAATTACAGATGAAATACATCAGCGACAGACATGATTATCACGGAAATCCTACACCGTAAAGACGGTCTTTCCTGCAGTATGTCTGCTCTTTTAGCTCTATTATGTATTCCGCTCAGATATTCGGGACGAACGATAAAAGAGTTTTTTACATTTGAAATACATTCCTGCTTGGTCTTAGTGAAGTAACCAAAAGGGATGCTCATATAAAGCCAGTTAGCCTCATGCCTTGTTACGCTTCCGACTGAATTGCGGCAGTTGCCGGCGCCGAGAGGTCTCCGCCTTCGCAATCAAGGAATGGGGCCGTCATATCCTTGTTTATACCTGGACAAGCGAATTATTATTACTGTTATTATTATTAGTAGTACTATTATTAATACATTTTTGGGTAAAAGCAGCGCAAGTGCGCTGTTTTTCTTTAAAAACACCAGTGTCCAATAACGGTAAATTTACAGACTCCAACCAGCAAGTTCCATGCGCCTCTAATCATAAAAAAACCTAAACATTAACATCTGTATAACTTACATAACTCCACGACTGTAAAATTATAAGCTTACAATCTGCATGCAATCGTAGAATAGGAAATTATATTGGTAATGATAGAAGCTTTAATAATTGCAGTGCCAATACCGTGAGTTGCAATAACATCACAAATTCGTGAGGTTTTCCTTACCCGGCGTCAGATCACACGCGAAGGATGAGGTTTGATCGATCCTTCTGCAGGTCTCAGTCTCTCGGTAGTCTTCGCCCGACGGCGTTGATGGAGTACTACCTGATACGAACTCGTAGCTCACCGAAGCGCCGAAGCAAGTCTCCTTACTGATCTTAACCTCACCTGTTTCCCGGTTCGTCTCCGTGATCCGAAGATGATGTCGAACAGCTGGCTCAGAATCGGTCACCACCTAAGTTTGTTGAGTTTAAGCAACCAGTATGACCTAATCGTTAATACCGCAGAAGATTACTACTTATTATGTGACTATTTTAGTTGCTCCAAAAAATTATCACAGCTCTCGAAAGTTCAAAAAATAATTATTATTCTCACCTCTAGTTTGTATGTACGGTTCCGTTCGAGGAGAATTGGTTTTGCTTTTGACGCCGTTGATTTCGTTGATAGACTCGATTTCGGAATCAAATTTAACTGTTGCTTCACTTGACTATTGGCATTTTCTCTCTTGTTCCGCGTCGGCTGGACCACTACATGCCGAAGTCTGTCCTCGAGTCCGTCAACCTCGTCGATGTTTATTTTAGCCGGCAACGGAGGTGCGGTGGGCTGTTTCATCGGCTTTTGAACGCGGGCGTATACGGCCTCATCATTCGGTTCATGGGCTGTAGTAAACGCTTCCTGTGCACCAACAATTTCATACTCGCCTGAAGAGGATATATAGTCCTGTTCGGGATCACCTTTACATATAGGTTCCGAAAAATCAAGATCAGATGCTGACTCTTCGGTTTCGTTTTCGAAGCGCAATGATTTTTCTACTCGCATTGGGCTATTGCATGGAACTGCCGTGTGGCTAAATTTTTGAATAGAGGGAAAAAATAAGGATTTTTTGTTAGCAGCATAATCGGTGTTCGCAGTTGATGCTACATGAGGCGCAAACTTCTGATGAGTTGATATTAGTCTTGGTTGACGGTGATTATCATCTGTTTCTAGCGGTGAGACTTGTTGCGTCTGATGTTCATAGTTTCTGACCTCCAAGGCAGGTTGGACTGCAGTGGTTTGTATCTGCTCTGTATCTTTAATTGTTGCTGCTGTCGGGTCCACTGAAATCGGTTGGGAAGACTTTTTCGGAGGAGTTACGCCGCGCAACTTTGAAGATGTCGTTGATACAAACGCATTGGTGAGTCGCGCCAAACGCTCCTTCACTGACCCCTCGGCTTTTCTAGCCTGTTTCATCTCAAAGCTGGCGCCTGAGCTTTCACTGTCATTGGACGAAACGCTTGCCGGCCGTTTTGGCGTACTCATCAAGGTGGCTGACTTCCGATGATTACGTGGAGGTAATCGCGACAAGTCCATCGTAACGTGTGCGGACATATTGGCAGTCTCGAAAGTGTCGCCGGCGTACAAGCTAGGAAGCTCTGAATCTTCGACATAGGGGGGCGGAGTTCGGAACGACGAACGCATGGAAATGTCATGACTTTTTAATTTACTCAGTTGGGATGATTGCCCTGACGAATAGAGGTTAGCGACCCGACGATTATGCGTTACCGGCCAGGGTCCCCTGTTTTGACCTCCGGAGATGATAACCGATAGCTGCTGGTAGATCTCCTCTAGATTTGTTTTTCGCTGCGAAATGGACGGCTGGGAGACGAATTCAAGAAAACGTTAAAGCAACATAAGCGCTTGTTATTTACAGACTCAAATATCATTTCTAATTTTATACAAAAGATAACTGAGAGCTAATGGGATAGCAATGCACTAAAAGCATAATATAATATATTCAACATAAATGGCCCTAAATCAATATTAACATCGTAACAGCAATGACAACAGTGTAAAAACATTCTCTACCCACCATCATTGCCATATGCATAACACGCTGAAACTCCGAAGGTATATTGTCCGGTGTTTGTAGGATTTTCTTGTGAACGACGAGTTCCTGATAAACGCTATCCAGATCTTCGTCACACCACGGTATGGTCTTAGTGAAAACTTCCCAAACAACCACTGCTAGCGAATATAAATCTGAGGCCTGTTTTGCAGATCCATTAGCCAAAACTTCGGGCGCCAACCAATGAAAATAGTATTCTTGGACACCACGATCCCCAATCGTAAACTTTCGGCAATCGTTTGGTTGTGAGCGTTCGTCCTGAAGAAACTCAAAACCAGACAGTTTAGCGAGGTTCGGCGAAATGACGACAATCGCATGTGGGTTAATGCAGGCATGGACGAATCCAGTTTCGTGGAGATACAGAACGGCGTCGCAGATCTGTCTCAGCATGTGTATGAAGTCAACTGTTCATTGGGGAGAAAGAACGAACGAATGACAATATAGGAAAATAACCTTTCGCCTTTTTTTCTTTAGATAGCTTATATAGATATATGCTTAAATGCCACTGTCAAATGTAGTTGAGAGTCAACCTTCATACGGTTTTCCTTCTTACTATATGAAGCCTTGCAGAACAATGTCTTTGCGAACGAGAACCTCATACTGGTCCAAGTGTGTTAGGGTGGCATAATCAAGCAAATACAATACAAGAAAAGATACTAACAACTCTTCGTTCGTTCGAACTTCTACTAACCATTCCTTCTCACTGACTGCATATTAACTGTACTTGGTCAAATTAACTTACAACCCGAGGGTATATATTATTCCATTTGTGCTGATATACAAACACCATACTCAAGACCAGACCTGTACGGTGAGCCGGCTAGTAATGTTAAATCGAAACCGCCCTGATCCATTCATAGGCTAGTTAGGCACAGCATCCTAGCGCGTGTCTCCACCTAATCACGTTCATCTCCCATCGTCGCCCTAGTAGAGAAAGCCAAGAGCGGCTTTCCCTATAATGAAACCGTTGCTGAATAGTCACGCTACGAGGGCTTGAGGAGTGAGGAGGAGGAGGAAAAGGGCAAAAACTAACGCACAAACACGGGGCTCTAACTAGTAAATTTGGTTGGGCTAGACATTGTTTGTTGTTTCGTATGCACCCACACGATTCTGTGCAATAATGTAAGTCCTTCTTTTTCTAAGCCTTTTACAGCATCATGACCCTTTTACCCAACGTAACGCCACAGAAAATGCTATAGAAAAGATAGCTCCGTAATAAGATGGCTATGTACAAAATATCCTGAACCTAGTGTAGTACACGTTTTCACTAAAGATCAACTTTTAATCAAACTGTATTCCCATGAGGCGGGCGTTTGCTTCGTGCATACCATTCTGCAAAGCAATGGCGAATTTACTATCATGACCTGCATCAAAACCCGGTACTAGTTATTGTTTTGGCTTGTGCAGTGGCAGCAGTATTATACGATCACGCAATAATGAGCAATTCCCTATTGCACTCCTATCTTTGACGTCTAACATGATCAAAACTACATACCTGTGGGTAACCTTGGTGTCGCGTCATCATCATGAAGTAATTTAAACAGACTACCGAAGTGAACAGCTTCGTATACGATAAAGGCGTCCTCCATATTCTCCGTCGGTGAAATTGCCAGCGGCCATAAATAGTTTGGGTGCGGTGTCAATCGGCGAATGTTTTCAATCTCCTGTAAAATGACATCGCTGCGGATACCTTTGCGCATCCGCCTATTTGCTGTGAACCGCTTAACCGTCACCCGCAGGCTATCTCGATACATCGTCTGTAAAACGGTCATCGGTCCGGCCCAAGTCGTCCGCGGATCGTCGGCATGTAACAGAAGGCCAGGAGATACATAACTGATATGCGTAGGCACCCCGACTTCGCCACCCCACTGGTACAATGGACCAAATCCGCCATCCGTGATTAGACGTTCTGTACACCACTTTCGACGTTGAGTGCCTAAAGCAATGGTCAAACTCAGTTAAATAAGTCTTCATTTTTGACCGATTCTCGGGTTGAGGTGCCTCACAGTTATACAGAGTCGATACAGTTTAAACAAGGCGAAATAAAAAAAAACTGTGGTCTCTTTCACAACGTGGATCACCAGGTGGAGTTTCGGCTATATCGAACAAAACATTTTGCAAAAAATAACACAATCGTGTGTCCAACTGTTTTTTTTCAGTGCTGTAACGACCAAGCGTTGAAGAAATCTCAGCATTGCATATTTGCATAGGCGTGAAGCGCTTTTCCAAACAACCACAGAGTTGGGTTCCTAATTCACAGCAACAAGCGCACGACTTTTGACCTTATAGCGATAAGTAGCAACTAGGTATGGTAAAACTAGCTAATCAATAATAAACAGCACACGGATAATAGCTAGAGGCAAATACTTCTCAAGAACCCAATATTTCTGTTCAAATAAGCATTCGCGCACCTGAATTTGACCATAATACAATTACCATAGTCCCGTAGTACCAAATTTTTAGTACAGTTTACCGTCAAAGACCAACTCTTTCTAAACGATATACTCGATACATATCACTGGTTCATAAACTAGTTTTTGTATGATTAAATAGTTCAGAGTGCAGTTGGCCAAGCATTTGCTGGAGCGGACCAAAACCTACCCCAATCCTATATTTCATCGATATTATAGATAATTCTAACATGATTACATTTTAGGTGCTAAAATCGGTAGCATAAAGTCTATGCACACTAGTCAAAAGTGCAACTGGTGAATTCTGCGTACATTAACCGAATAAGAAACGTTGGTTACATACCAATGCTATGTTTTAGGTTAGAAGATTGTCGCAAGCGCCGATTGCCTAAACTAAAAGAAACAAGTGACCTGATAAAAACGCACTAGTTCACGACAAATGATATACACTTTTAACGTCGTTTATTACCAATAAACGGTACAACGTTGATTTTTCAAATTCTACTATTTTGAAATTTCGCGCTATAGATCGTTGATACATCGCTGGCGATAATCGCTGTTGCCCACATATATTCTATGACCAATGGGAAATACGTAATCTAATACGGACGTGTTCAATCGCACAGATCCTGTATGAGAATCAATAAATTATCATTTGGCATTAATAGACTCACACGTGGATTTCTATTAATACAGACAAGTGAACACATAGGTTTCGTTACGTAAAATCAAGGAATTTGTTAAGTCAAAATCGATGATATTACATGGGGAGAAATATGCTAACCACTAATTCTATCTTTATATAGCTACATGACTTTACAAACAGGTGGTTCTAACAATCGAGGTAATATGTGCGTATTAAACAACCTGAATTAGGCAAATGGCCACGCTGATTTGCTACAATAAGCGAATATTACAAAGATAATAGTCATATTAAAGCTCGCCTGATTTAACAACACTGTCAGGGTGGGCTACTTCGCGCCAGATAAACGTCTTAGGAATAGGTGTAAGTAGGTCGCGCTTTGCCTTAGGCGCAAATCTATGTATTTTCTCTAGAATATAAGGCAGAATCTAAGATAAGAATCGCATTAAGGCTTGCCAATGATAATGTTGATAATGGTGGCAATGAAGGTAACAACACTAATGTAGCGAATATTTAACCAGCGGAAGAGAAAGGCATGTAAGGTCAAAACCGATTGACCACAAGTCATCGACGTCCCACCTCCCACTCCTAAAAAAAAATCGAGTAACATAGACAACTTACCGGATGAAAGCCTTCGTTTGAGAAGGGCACAACCATCAGCTGTCGGAAGTTTGTCTTCAACATAGCGTTCGGCTAATCGGTAGGCATCCGTTCGCTTGCGCAAGATAAACTCGATGACCCGAGAACGCGCCGTCGGATCTTGGCAATCGCGGGCCCATTCACACGGCGTTCGACCTTCGTCATCCCTTAGGCGAAGATCACCCCCACAGAGAATGAGCTGTTGTACGATTGTTGTTGAGCCTCGAATACATGCAGCGTGTACAGCTGTTGCGCCTCCAATGCAGCGAGCGTTTGGGTTTGCCTTTCGAGCGAGTAGGAACTGGACGCTGCTCATGTGCCCTAAAAGAGAATTACATTCTTGTGATTGTATGTGTAGATATATATGTAATGACAAAAGTATTTATATATGAAAATAATATGCTGATAAGGCTCCTTAAAACATTGCTGGGAATGCTTGTAGATTTTTTGATCAGAACCTCCGTTGACAAATTAGATGGCTGGTGCCCACACGAAAGGATTCGTGTCCATTCTGATGTCTAACATTCACCTTGCATGTGCCTTAGGTAATACTACTATCGAAGATTTTGAAGACACCACTTCATAATGATACCGGGCTGATATCACCTTTAGCGGTTAGTAACATACTCTACGTACATGGTTAAATGAATCTTCTATTACAGGATCATATGTTCACTTTTGGCAAATCACTACAGGCAACTATTTATTGGCCAACTGTAAACAATACCCAGTACTACAAGAAAATAAAAACAATTCTTTTGTGTTTGGCTCGGAATCATTGTGTAGACCAAACCTGCTAAAGAGAGAAAATTGCAAGCGCCCCAATATCCCTTAACTACTGACTGGAATTAGGCTATCAAAGTGCTAGATATTGAAATACAAGCGAACAGGATTATAGTAAAACTTTGAAAACATTTACGGTAAAAACGAATGTTCTTAAATACTATATCTTGCACGTGTTTCAACATTTCCATGAAAATGTAGTTATGCTTTATTAAAGTGTGGATTTGCTATGCATGAACCACAAAATGCTTTTCAAAAAGACGTTTTTCGCACACTGTTCAACATTTTTTTCGGCTTTACAGAAGAGATAGATATTAGAGAAAAAGTTTGCCTAAATATAACATCGTGACTAATCGAAAAGTTTCCCGACACAGCCCGCGTTGTCGCTTCGTGCTAGTAGTATTTCTGGCCTAAACTGCTGATAATGACAAATAGTCGGCGCTAGTATCTTTCATTGGGGATAACATTTTATAGTGGTTCTTCGAGGGATAACGCTATTCACTATTAGAAATGTCACTCATGAACAAGCCGAGGGAGAGATCTAGCATGTATACAATACTTCCTCTAACAACCAGACCTTAAGGTGCTTTTTTCCCGCCTCTGTGTTAGAAGCTTCGTTTCAAAACATTGCCTGCAAACACCGGAGCCGCTTAAGCAAGTGACGAAGCTTGGTACTTTTACATTCTAAATAACACATTGTGGTTGCCAGTCACCTTAAAAGCCGTTATTCATTATATATTAATATCTTTTTTTTCGAAGGAAGTTTAATCAATATTGCACTGGGTTTTAACTGTAAATTCAAATTAAGGTTATATCATCTTGTTTGGACGATATTCAATTGATAACCTATGGCAGTGGTTCACTATACAGGTCGTCTTACCTGCTTCAACAGCGAGGTAGAGCGCTGTAAATCCACCCTCTACGAGATCCACATGATAACCTTGATCCAGAAGTCGTTCGAGCTCTTTCACTCTGTTGGCTTTGGCTGCCTCGTGCAAGCGACATGCTGACATCCTGCAAGACGCTTTTAATGCTGCGGGAACACTTAGAGCTAAACATAAAAGAGTTCTCTTATTTTGCTTTTGACCAGATACCTTTTGTCTTCTGTACTTTAATGATGAGCAACACTCAATGCACTTGAGCACTCATATCAGTCTACTAATACCTGTCGCCATGGAACTGATTCAACTGCTTAATCTGATCGACAAAAAGTATGCTCCGAATTGGGGCGTCTGCTACGTGGAGTTCTACTGGCGCGGTTTTTGAAAACGACGAGTAGTGTCTGGGTGACTGATAAGACCGCTGTTGACCAGTAAACAGGAGTATTCAGGATAGTTTCTAATCGTTCCCGCGATGTGATGTTGCTATTATTACTATTATTATTACTATTTTGCTGATACAACTGCATTAAACTTAGCCGGTGCGATAAGTATGTTCACAGTTTGCTTAAGCTGTGTTGAGGCCTCCATAGGCATACTGCGTTTAGCTTTGATTTTCATATATGCAGACAAACAAGTCGTTAAAAAGAGTCGAAGTTCAGACGGGTTGTATGTTTTCAAGTTTTGTACTCGTTAGCCTGGCTGATGCAAGTGAGCATTCACTTTTTTTTTTCTATCATTCTCCATTTTAAAGAGTATACGGGTTTCAATCGCAATAAAAGAAGCCTCAAGTTGATAAGGTGTATCATCACGTTAGAATCTTCATGCCTATTCATTTTTTATAGGCTGAGCAATATACGATATATACAATCCTAAAGAGCTATAGAGGGGCTTCTTTCGCGCTTTTTGAAAAACCTGTAGTTTACTATAATGTGTCCTTCCTGGTATTTTTTTAGGATATCCAGTATTTTTTAGAATTCCATTTCCATAATAGAATGCATTAGGTTGCATTACATTCAAAGGATTAGTTACGGAAAAGAAATGCCATTAGTTCATAGTACCTTAATGTATATTTAAACGTTTTGCCAGTATGCAAATTCAACCCAGAAACTTTTGGGTAATCTTTTTTATGGTTTTGATACTAAATAGAATAATGCGAATTGAGAAATGGATACGAACCTGACCGGGGTCGAGCTACGAAGTGAAAAGGTAAAAAGCTCAGTGGACATGGCATGATTGGCAGGATATGAGGTGATATTCCTTGTTGCTCCTGAGTCTTTATGAATCTCCGCCGAGCTCTGCAAAAGCTCTCACTGATTTCGAATGCGACCTTAAAATGCTTATCACGCTTATCATATAAAAAAAAAAGAAGTTACTCAAGCTAAAACTGCATTAGGCACGAGTAACCACTGCAAACATTATAGGAAATTTATCGCGGGAAATATTTGCTTTAGTGTGTGGCCTGCTTAACCACGCGGTTTTCCGTATAGTGCATCGATTAAATTGATCCCAATGAGATTCATTGGATCTGCATAACTTGAAAACATTGCTGACAGTTAAAACCACTGACTATTTATGTCCTGTGCCTAGACGCAGCCTTGGCATCTGAGATTATTGAATTCAACTTTTCGTGTTCAGATAATGTGGTGTCTCTGAAGCGTGCCTGGCCCAAACCAGGGTTTAAGGCATACCGAGTCCAGGTTTTAATAGGCGAGAGCCCCACGGGCCTCGATCTTATTAGCAGTGAAGCCTGGTCTGCAGAATCCTTTCGCCCTTAATCATCTTAGAGAAACGCCGCATGTGTGGCTATAGCCAACAAATGCACGTCCATGATGACGCAAGTCATTTGAAGAAATTGAAAAAAAACAATAAAAATAAATCACATTTCGATTAGACTAGAGAAGCTATTTGTGCTCGTTGGAAGAGCTTCGCTGAGGCTATGAGGTACGACTATATTTAATGGAATGAGCGTGGTATCCGTAGCACTTATCAATTGTGTACTCATTGGCTCGGTGAAGGCACAACACCCAATAGAATCCCGCGAACTCTGCTTTTACATATAGTACAAAATGTATATGTATGTATATCTTACATTGGCTCTATTATAGGATCAATAGTTGCGCAAATTTTTAGAAACACTGACGAACTACGAATTGTTTTTGTCGGTTAGAGCACATTCGTCGAGAAAAATACGCTCGAATTGGCGGTTAATAACAACTTTATCGTTATTTATTCATATCCGCGTAGAAGTAGTATTAATTAAACGAGAAAAACTATATACACAACTATATCGGCGCCTACAGCGGAAGTGAGATGAAAAGATGGCCATGATGAATAATGGGTTGTTTTTCTACGTAAATAGTACACAATATAGGTAACTTTTTTAGCGAGATTATGTAGAGCAGTGAAAATTGAATTCGTTTACATGAAGAAATGGAAAGATACACTGAATGGGAACGTTACATATAGAATGGTTAGGAGTTGTGGTGGTTTTGGATTGATAAAATTATCAAATACGATTTCGTTTTGAAGTGAGTAAATCCATTGCGATGGCTAGCGAACCCGATCGCATCGTGAAAGTATGCCTGAATTGCCGGAGCTTTTCGTCGTCCAACAGATCCCTCCCTTCGTCGTTTTTTTTCCGCTGTCTTATGTTTGTTGTTAGAAAAATGAGATTTCGTTAGATGGCTCAGTATTCAGCTTGTCACTGATTCGTACTGGCTCTTTCTGTTTCTTGACTAATATGAAATACTCAGCGGAAACGCGTAGGGCTGATGCGCCGCCCAGAACATTTGTGACAGTGCCCTCGCTTTGCGTAGCGCGCGAGTTGCCCTTGCCGCTTGACGCCCTGTGGAGCACTTGCTTGCAGTCCCGTTACGTTAACTGCGAGAGTAAACTGTAGATTCCTTTCCCAGAAGCGCTAACAGTAGCGATTGGAGTCGTAGCAATGGACGATGGACGCGATTGTGGAGACTGAAGGTTGCGCGGATGGCCGGCGTTTCCGTGAGATTGCCGACGACAGATGCGGTAGATCTTTGATGAACGAAATTTAGTGGTATTTGTTTATTTGTATAATTTTTACTTCAATATTATCAAAGACTTGGTTAAATGGCCTCATTTGAACAGTGATGTGTGTGATCTGATAACGAAGTAAATAATGTGCGTCGCAGTTCCCCGGCTGGCACTTCGACACAGCTGATACTTTATTTCGTATCATTGTCGACTGTGTATCTGTGTGTACGCGTATTGTCAGAAACTCGACGAAAACCCCACTCGTGGTCCAATGATTCGAGATTTCTAGTACATACATGTGACGAGAAAGTTATTGCGGACATTGAGACGTAAACTGCTATATAGATTTATCTGTTAAACTAGTTTGACGGTAAATGAAAAATGGCCATTCAAGTAAAAGTGAATAGGTGACACCACTGATGAAAACATTGACGTGCCGGTATCTTACAGTTAAACTTTTGGGAAAAGTTGGTTTTTAAAAAGGTTGGGAAACGAGAAAAATGCGTGGATTAAGCTTTTTCAGTTGACAGCAAATAAGGCCAGCATATCTTAGGGAGATCGTCTGCCAGGTGAGTTGAGGGATGAACGTGGATGTCAGTGTGAAAGGGCTCGTTTTCTCCTAATCTAACATTTGTCTTCAACTGTTGGATCGAAGGTTCAGCCAAAAACGCCAGCTCAATAAAAGGAACATGCATAACGGAACGAGCTTTAATTAGCTTCATTGAGCAGAACGACTTAAGTTCAGCAGCTTCTCTCTTTATCAAGTGGTTGATTTAGCTCTTTCATTAAAACGAGAAGTTGATTTTATTTTAGGTCTTAGCTGTGATAATATTCAATTTAATTGCAAACGGCCAGTCCATGGTGGGTTCAAGGTTCGATTAAATGGCTGAATAGCACTACAACGAAGGAAATCGATCGACGTTAATGGCTAATCGAAGGTTAGGCAGAAGTTAGGGTGGCAGTTCCGATTTTCTAGGGCGATCATGCAATTAGACTGTTAAAGAATACGCGTCTTTTCTGTTTGGTCTCAACCGATCATGATTTTACGTGTTGCAAGACTTACTTTTCTCCTGTTAAAAAAACAAAGCAAAAATTTACTCATCACTATCACCTCCTGTAAATACTTTGTCGACAAACGTTTCCCTAAAGGCTACTGGTAATAATAGTTTCTTCACCTGTTAAGAATTGTCCAGTCAAGCTGTAAGATGGCCACCTACAAAAAAAGCTGGTCATGTTTTTTATACGTACGATTCCTTGGAGAAGAATTTTTCTCTAAAAGCTAATACATCTGTAGATGCAAGATGATAGCATAGCCCTTGGCAGTTTTTTTTCAACCTTTTTTCAAATACGACCAGGCGGATGCCTTTGTTTACAAATTAACAAAAAAAAAAAAGCTGTCCAGTACAAAGCGTGCGTGTGTTCGACCTCGTAGCCACGCAATTTCTAAATTTGAGTATCTTCAGAGTTGTTTATATAGTTCCGACTATAATTGTTCGCTGGGGAGACACAGTCTGTGTCTAGCAAAATCTGCTTACTCGAAGTGTCCAGATTTTAATACGCCACCACGCATCCATCACTGTTTGATGACCCCAGCGTCGACACTGCCTCAGCCATATCGGGGATGGTGCTATCTTATTATGCTAAACTCAACTTCCACAAGCGACTCAGCTAGATTTGGAGATTTATCAATTTGATTCATTGGTGCCGTCAAATGTCGACGACAAACGGGTGCAGCTTTCGATAAAGCTAAAAAAGAATCTTCCGTAAGCTATCTTCAGTTAATCCCGTCACTTCTATCGGTGCAACGACCGTTCTCTTGGGATCTTCTGCTGGGCGGCTGCAGAGTCAGTTATGGCTAACTCAAATAACGGCGCGTGGCTTTGTTTCGGGTCCAACTGACGCAGTCTTTCAACCATTCTCCCGTAGCGCCCACCGGCCAAAAACAGTGCCGAATCTGGCATACCCAATCCACTACTGCAATCAATGATCCATATTGCTTTGTTCACTGGTGTCTTTTGGTCCCGCCCACATGAATGGGGCGCATTGCGGTGCCATCCACACTACCGCCGATTCGATCCAACAATTTATCGCAACTAAATTCCTCCGCATCCTTCAACCGTGGTCGTTGTCATACTATAGAATGGATAATATCAAATCAGCCAGTTCTCGAATCATTCGTGGCTGGCCTAGGTGAGTGGGTCGTTTGTACTGCTGGCCAAGCAATACAGGTATCATCTAAGACAGAGGGATTCTATCATTTAGCCTGTCGGATACGAGTGGCGCGAGGCAAACAATTTTATAGATTTTTAAATTCTCACACATCGTTTTTTTCGCCGACGACATGAATGCCGTCGCGTCTCGAGCGGACTTCTGTTACACAGTCATACATACATACATATATATATATATATATATATATATATATATATACACGCTGCTATAGAGGGTTAAGCAACGGAGTTTACCTGGGTTTGCGATGCGCCCGAATGCACTGGTTCTTATGGTTTTTTGAGCAGACTGAGGTTCGAATGCCATAATAAAATAGTGCGAATTTCGGATAGCTGTCAACCGACAACAGCGGTGCAAAACAGCAGAGAGCATGCGTAGTTGCGCTCTGTAAGAAACCTCTCTGTTATATGAATTCATTATACTTACGCCCAGGGCTACCGTAAGTTGGTTTAGAGGACCCAAAAAACAGGTTACCACCGAGTTCGCTACAGTGGTAAAACAAAAAAAGCTAAAAATATATGTAAATAACAAACGCGTACAGCTGATTTTAGATTCTCTAGAATCTATTTGAATAGGGAGTTCTTTTTAAGAAACGGCCATGAAAAACAACAAAAAGCACACAAAGTCAGTAGGATCAATCTTCCCTTCTACGTCATGCTACCGTGAACTTATGCTCGGCCATATAAGCGAGCTTAAATGTGGATAAGGATCGCAATCTGCTGACATCAATATTTCTCAAATATGAAGAATGATTTACATTTCATAGCCTAATAATAGATTTGTATTGTGAAACCGCGATTATGTTAAACAGTCAGGTTACCTAATACACACATATTTGTGTGGTTTGTATCAACTTAACTGTCAAAATCAAATAAGTGTCTTTAAAAAGGATCTTCTCGTGCCCTTTGACCCTCTGAGAGGTTCATTGGAGACGGAATCGATACCGTTTTCTACGGATCCTAGATGGAATCGGTTGAAGCATGTCTTGTAACGATACATATTGATTGTTATGGTTGTCAGAGAGCGCAAATGATCTTCAACGATCGTTTGTGCATGCAGTTGCCCCTATGTGCATGAGATTATACGTCAC